GACCATCTATGACCTTGAAGTTTTGAACATGACAGCACTTTCACACATGGAGGGCATGCGGTTTTTAGAAGATGGTTCTCGCCTTAGCGCCGCGCACATCCGTATTCAAGTTTGCAAGAGCTTCACGGATTCAGGGCGGGTGGTTTTCAAAATGTGGCTCTCGCCGTGGCGCCGCGCACATTCCTTTTCAAAACCTGCAAGAGTTTCAAGGATTAAGGGCGGGTGGTGTTCAGAATATGGCTCTCGCCTTAGCGCCGCGCACATTCGGTTTCAACATTTGCAAAAACTTCACGGATCGAGGGCGGGTGGATTTCAAAATGTGGTTCTCGCGTTAGCGCGGCGTACATTGGCTTTCAAAATTTGGACGAGCTTCACGAATTGAGGGCGGTTCCTTTTTTAAAGGTGGCTCGGCCTCAGCGCCGCGAACATTCGTTTAAACATTGCAAGAACTGCACGGGTCCCCACGATCAACATACCAAAAAAGTGTTTTGGACGGATTCAGGATTATGAGGGCGCAACAGTTACGTTGAATCGCTGTGCTGAAGTATCAGGAACCGAGTTCTGGCACGATTCAAGATTGTCAAGACGCAACAATCATGTTGACCCGTGGCGTTGGAATCCCGAGAACACTGTTTTGGCATGATTCAGGGTCTTCTAACGGTTGTCTTCCAACGAGGCAGCTCCCCCAGTGGAACTGAACCGTTGTATGGGGCCTATGCAAAGGGAGCTTGAGGGGAGGGCTTATTCTAACATTGCTGGTGAGTCTTGAGTTTGCACTGGTCCTCCTCCTTCTCCTCCTCCTCCTTTTCCTCCTCCTCCTTCTCCACCTCTTCGTCCTCCTCCGCCTCCTGCCTCCTCCTCCTCCGCCTCCGCCTCCTCCTCCTCCTCGTCCTCCTTCCTCCTCCTCCTCCTGCTCTTCCTCCTCCTCCTCCACCAGCTGCTCCTCCTACTCCTCCTGCTCCTCCTCCTCCTCCACCCCCTCCTCCTCCTTTTCCTCCATTCCTTCTCCTTATAAGTAACTCCCCCCTGTCGCACCCCGAGGCCAGTTTTTAGGGCGGGTCGGTCGTTGCGCCTGAGACTGCCTCACCACTCATGGCCCCGAAGCTTAAAAAGTGGCAACACTTTCACAACTGTAGGGCGGGTCGTTTTCAAAACGTGGCTCTCGCCTGAGCGCCACCCATATTCGTTTTAAACATTTGCAACAAGTTCATGGATTGAGTACGGGTGGTTTTCAAAATGTGGCTCTCGCCGTAGCGCCGCGCAGATTCGTTTTCAAAATTTGCGAAGAGTTTCACGGATTGAGGGCGGATGGTTTTCAAAGTGTGGCTCTCGCTCTATAGCGCCGCGCACATTCGTTTTCAAAGCTTGCAAGAGCTTCACGGATTAAGGGCGGATCCTTTTCAAAATGTGGCTCTCGCCTGAGCGCCGCGCAGATTCGTTTTCAAATTTCGCAAGAGCTTCCCGGATTGAGGGCGGGTGATTTTCAAAATGTGGCTCTCGCCGTGCCGCCGCGCACATTCCTTGAACCTGCAAGAGTTTCAAGGATTAAGGGCGGGTGGTCTTCAGAATATGGCTCTTGCCTGAGCGCCGCGCACATTCGTTTTCAAAATTTGCAAAGAGTTTCACAGATTGAGGGCGGTTCCTTTTCAAAATGTGGCTCTCGCTTCAGCGCCGCGCACATTCGTTTTCAGAATTCTAGAATTCTCACGGATTCCCAAGGTCAACGTACCAGAAACGGCGCCCTGGAAGAATTCAGGATTATGCGGGTGCAACAGTTATGTTGATTCGAGGTGTTGAACTCCCACAAATGGCGCTATGGCACGATTCCGGACCGTCAAGACGCAGCAGTCAGGTCGACACGTGGCGTTGATATCCCGAGAACAATGTTTTGGCATGCCTCAGGGTCTTCAAAAGGTTGTCTTCCAACGAGGCAGCTCCCTCAATGGAAATGAACCGTTGTGGGGGCGTATGAAGAGGGAGCTTGGAGGGAGGGTAAACTCCAACATCGTTGATGACTCTTGGGTTTAGACTGGTCCTCCTCCTCCTCCTCCGCCTCCGCCTCCTCTTCCTCCTCATCCTCCTCCACCAGCTGCTTCTTCTTATTGTTAGTAGCATTGATATTTTGATTAGTACCATTCTTGTGATCAGATATATGAATAGTATTCGTCTTATCCTGATTCTTAGTATAAGAATTATGTTTGGAAAAAGTAGTCGTTCTGTTATTCTTCTTCGTTCCGTCATTATTAATATTCATACTAGTATTACTATTCGCATTCGTATTATTACTATTTCTCCCCCTCCTCCTCCTCTTCAAACTTCCTCCTCCTCCTCCTCCTTTCTCTTCCTCCTCCTCCTCCTGTCCCTGCTCCTCCTCCTCCTCCTCCTCCTCCTCCTCCTCCTCCTCTCCTCCTCCTCCTCCTCCTCCTCCTCCTCCTCCTCCTCCCTCCTCCTCCTCCTCCCCCTCCTCCTCCTCCTCCTCTCCTCGCCCCTCCTCCCTCCC